TTTTTTTTTTTTTTTTTTTTTTGGTAGTGGTACTTGAACTCAGGAACTTATGCTTGCCAGACAGGCAAGGTACCACTGAACTACATCCCTGGCCCTTTCTCCAGAATTTCAAAAAATTAAAATAAATAATAAATGCAAAACTTTTTATATAAAATGAAAATTGTTTGTGGTCTCCACAAAATAGAGAGCCAGATGAGATGACACTTGCCTATAATCCCAGCACTCTGAGAGACTAAGGCAGAAAGATTGCAATTTGAGCCCAGTTTGGGCAATTCAGCAATTTAGCCAGACCCTGTAGCAGGGAAAAAGAAAAAAGGCCTGGGAATGTAGCTCAATGTGAAAGTCTTAGGTTAAATCTCCACTACCCCAAAAAAATAGATTAATAAAATATTTAATATCTGCCTTTAGGGCTTATCTCTCCAGTTTACACTCATACCCAAAGATTTAATCTGGTCAGAAAAGTCTGTACATCTTCTACATACACTGCAGCAAAGACAGCAAAGTTGTCCAATTAGTCAATTAAATCCTTTTTTTTTAATTGTTCGGTTTATGTTGTTCGGTACCAGGGATCAAACTCATGACATTGTGTTTGCCAGGCAGGCTGGCCCCTTGTTTGTTTTTTGAGGCAGGGTCAAGAGCTATATTGCCTGGCTAGCTTAGAACTCCTAGGCTCAAGTGATCCTTCTGCCTCAGCCTCCTGAGTAGCTGGCACTACAGACATGCACCACAGTGCCCCGCTATTTATGTATGCTTTAAAAGGCCCACAAGTATTCTGTGAACTTCTGGTAGAGAAACACATTTTTAGATACACTTCTTGAGCTCCTGAATATCTTATATGTGTAAAGCTATTGCCTTACCCAGTTTTGACTCCCTGGGTGCAAACCCTGTGTTTTATGGTCATTGCCCTCATCTCAGGTAGCTACTTCAGTGACAGTTTGATGAGTGCATCCGCACCAAATCAACATTAGACTGGCATTAAATGGCAATGCCAGGGGTATAACTCAGTGGTAGACCACTTATCTAGCATGCAAGTGGCCCTGGCTTTGATTCCCAGTACCTGCAAAAGATAAAAATAAAAAAGGCAACATTGCTGTTCCCATTTCAATACCCTTACCACACTAGTGCTATTAGCCACAGTCCCAAGGCCAGGGCCCTCCCTTTGCTCCTAGCTCTGACTACTACAGAGCACAAGGGGACAAGCAGGGGGAATGCCAGCCCTGTGCTTATGCTGGGCAAAAGCCTCAGGAGATGTGGCCCCCAAATAGGCAAGATGAGTATCTACGTGTCTTCTAACTGGGTTATCCCTCTGAACCTGTTTCCCTACCGCAGAATCACAGCATTGGTCACATCTTCATCCAAAGGACAGCATGAGGCCAGAAAAGAGCAATGAGTGAGCTCTGGCACTGCCCACCAGTCTATACCTGCAAGGGATTCTGGTAGCTGATACGTTATCACTCCCTGTCAAGGTCCTCCACCTCTGCTGCCAGAGGCCCGAGGGTGAAACCTGTGTCCCAACCAAGGAGAAGCAGTTCAATCACACAGCCATTGACTGTGTATTCAACCACCACCTACTGTGAGCCTACCAGGCCCAGGCGGTAGGGACAGAGATGAGAGCCAGATCTGTTCTCAAGGAGCCCATGAAAGGAAGTTTGGATTCTTTGTTCAAACGGAGGAAAAAAACAATTTTGCAAACAAATCCGGAATAGAAGAGGACTCCAGTGAGCAGACTGAGCCCTGCGCCCCAGGCTTTGAGGGGGCGGGGCGCAGAGGACAGAAGCGTCTTGGGGCGGGGCCCAGCGGCGGCCGATGGGATTCCGGTGCCCCTCCGGTTCCCACGACCCCGCACCCGTGATCCTCCAGTGGAAGCCCGCCTCCAGCCCGGAATTCCATCCTGTCTGACCTCAGTTTCCCCCAGCCCCGGGCCCGCTCTCGTTTTGATGTTCCTGGCCGTCCCGGTTCCCCAATCCTTTCTGTCGCCGCGTTCCCGGGAACCT